ACTTTGCAATGAGTCGTATAGTAGTAAGAATGAGTGTCTGATGGATAGCTTAGGTTCCCCACTCTTCTTTCAGAATGAAAGTCCCTAGAGATATCAGATGAATAAAAAAGTCCATCTTATTTATTGAACTAAACTGTATGGCTTAGGGCAAAGCCAGGAGGTTGGGAAAGGCACCAGCCTTTATTAAGTACCTGCCACCTTTGCTTCTCATTTTGTCAGGTCACAGACTGGATTATTTCCAGTAAACTATTGTTGAATGTTTCTATTCCTCCACACCCAATTAGTTTTCCATGTGAATAAAGCAGACATTCCTAGAACCTGTATCTCAGCCAGTGTCCTCTAGCACCCACTGCCAGTTTGTTCAGCATCATTTACATGCTAGGTTTAGAGCTGCAGCGATACATACTTTTTCTAGTGTGTATGTAGGGAAGATAGTCCTTTTAAAAGGTTATTTATTTATTTATTTATTTATTTATTTATTTATTTGTGGGACCCTCGCCGGCGGCCGGGGAACAAACCGGCACTGCAGAGGCTGCGGGCAGCCTCGCAGCCCAGCGCTCAAACGCTGTGCCACCAGGGGAGGCCCTAAAAAGGTTATTGCAGGGTTTCAAGTTCTGTAATAGAGGAAAAAAATTTTTTTATGGGAGGGACATGGAGTAAGGACCCCCAGACGAGAATGTGGAAGGTGGGCTGGGGTCAGATTAGAGGACGAGATGCCTGAGTGTTTTAGGTAGAGGAGGAGGCAGGCCAGGTGCGGGCATTCCAGCTAGAGAGGACACTGTGGACAGAAGCATGCAGGTGCCTGGCACAGACAGAAAACTGCAGGTAACTGAATCCTAGGATTCTAGAGGACAGTGATGAGAGGAAAGGTGAAGGTTGGGAAGGTGGGACCAGGTTGTTGGGCATATATGCCATTATAAAGAATTTGGATTGTACCCTAGTAGCAATGGGGAGTCAGTGAAAGCTTTTAAGCAAAGATGTGATATCAGATTTATGTTTTAAAAGCATTTGGACTGAGGTATGAATTGGAGGGGAAATTCAGTAATGACTTTTGTTGGGTGATGAGAGACAGGTTTGGAGTAGAGATGACTCATAGGGCCTGGTTGGATTAGAGAGTCTAGAGTAAAGACTGGAAGAGTAAGAGCTTGACCTTGAGGAATGCCAACATTTAATGGTCCAAGGAAGATGCCCAGGAAATGGAACAGGCTCGGAGGGAGGAGCAGTGTGGAGGCATGCCATCCAATGCATGGTTTGGGGTCTCAGAAATCCTCCCAGCCTCAACTTGTCCTACCCTTGTTTTCCAGGGGATGGAGTCGACTTTCTGTCTTGGTTTCTGAATGCTCTGCACTCAGCTCTGGGAGGCACAAAGAAGAAGAAGAAAAGTAAGCACATTATTTTGTAAAAGGAGAGCTCTTTTTAGCTTATTTTTTTTAAAAGACAAAAACAAACAAAAGCCCTTCCACATCCCATCTTTGTTCTTAGCTATATATCTTCCTGTGCTACGGTAGTTTCTGTGTACACATAAGCTAAATTTTGTTCCTGAATAGGCCTCTCTCCATTTTCCTTTACTAGAAGATGGTTGTATTTTATTTATTTTATTTGTTTATTGTTTTAAATATTTATTTATGCATATAAGAACTGGGGTACAGGGCCTCCCCGGTGGCGCAGCAGTTGAGCACTGGGTTGTGAAGCTGCCTGTAGCCTCTGCAGTGCCGGTTTGATTCCCGGCCGTGGGGGGAGGGTCCCACATGGCGCGCAGACCTCTCCTGCCACCCGCTGCTCCCCTCAGCAGTGTACTTCATCAGTCTGCCTGTTCCTTTCTTCGCACTGGCTCTGGTGAATTCGCTCACCCTCCTACGCTTCCGACTGTACCCAGTGATTGTATAAATAAATAAATAAATCTTTTAAAAAAAAAAACTGGGGTATAGGCCAGAGGTGCCGGGGTTGGAGGGCAGTGAGAGGATTCACCAGAGACAGAGTGGGGAGCAGAAACAGACAGATCTACTGAAATACACTGCTGAGGGGGAAGCGGGCGAGACAGGAGAGGTCTGCTGTGCCATGTGGGTAGCTCCCTGGCCGGCTGAGGATCGAACTTGTGCTGCAGAGGCTGCAGATAGCTTCACAGCACAGTGCTTACCCCCTTGCGCCACCAGGGAGGCCCATGGTTGTATTTTAATTTAATTTATCTTTGCTATGAAGCTTCTTGATGAACTTTATTAAGCTAGGGTCCACTAGGAGGACAGCTGGAACAGGGCCTCTTGCAGGCTGGGTGGGAGGCCACTGTTGCTGCATGTCTTAATATCGGGCTCAAACCCAGCTCCTGAGATGGGCAAAGAAGGCCTTAGCCTGCTGACGCATCTGGTTGGCCTGCTACTCCATCCTGGCCAGCACCTTCTCCATGTGCTTTTTGCACCTTTTCCAGGCAATGGTGGGCCAGGCTTCTGCTAGCTTTTTAAATAAGTGAACATGGATATCCTGACTCAGTTTCAAACCGAGGAGCGGGGCATCATGTACAGACTGCCAATCTCCTGGCTGTGCAAGAAATGGTGTGAGGACTAAGTAGATGGTTTGCCTGACTTGTAAGTTGACAGGTAAAGCACTAAAGGCTAACTCCTCACTCTGAGCCTAAACTTGGAGAAATGGTTTCCATATAGATTCTCAGACTGCATCCTATTTCCCTTGGCATCCAGGTTGGCTTAGCAGTAGACATTTTTCATCAATGCCAAAAAATCTGTTAGCTCAGAAATTGCCCAGCTAGTTGAATCTTTGGAGACCTCATGAGGTTTTCTTGTCATCTTTCTGTGTTGATGATTCTGGTGTTTCTTGATGTGGGGTTGTGGCTGGTGCTTTCTACTTAATGACCTTGCTGCCTCTACCAGGTGTCTTCAGCCTGTGCTGCTTTCTTGAGTTCTCTAATGTGGCTCCTATCAGGTTTTCAGAACCCTGTTATGCTTTCTGCATCATTGTTTTGGTTCTGTTCTGCTCCATTGCTCCATTCCTGTCATTTATCTTTGTGTCCAATATAGGGTGGACATTGTCTCTCTTTAAGGCAGTATATGGTTATGGGATGTTCTTTGGCTGCTTCTTATTTTGCTTATGAATTTTTTTGTGTGTGATTTATAAATCTCTAGGCTCTGTAAATTATTCATCCTTTTCAAACACACTAAGTTTTTCTTTTAATGGCAGGCTCTGTGTTAGAGGGCCAAAAGGGCAGAATATTTATAGTTATAAGTAGTTATAAAGGTACCTTGACGGATATATGTTATAAAAGCACATTTCTGTGCTTAGTTTGGGTTTTATGCTGGCAGATGCTGGTTTATGTCAGAAATTTAAAAGTTGATAGTATATTTTAGAAATGTTTTCCAACCTGACAATTTGCATATTGATTTGTTTGTACAGCTATTGTGACTGATGTTTTCCAAGGATCCATGAGAATCTTCACTAAAAAGCTTCCCCATCCTGATCTGGTGAGTGAGTTGTTCTTGAGTCTTGGACTGATTTAGGGGATATAGGGTTGTTGTAGAGATCCTTAGAGAATCTATAAGGCCCCTTGTCCAGGAAAGAGGGTCTACAAAAAACATTTGCCAAGCAGCAGTTTATTCCGGTTCCAGTGGCTTATGGGGGCTGTACTTCAGCTGTTAGTGGTTGTATATGTGCTGCTGTGGCCTGGCCACTAGGTGGTGCTGGTGTTTTATTTACTTTTTTTTCATTTAAGTTTCCCAGAGCCGCTCAAACTTTTTTAGATAGTCTGGTTTATATAGTAAATAAAAACTCTGAATATGGCTTCCCATTGGTTCTTGCATTAATCTGACCAGGTGGTGCTACTGTTTACGAAACTGCCCAGTCTTTTGAGCACCCCTTTTCATTCGCTTTAGTATAGAAAATGAAGTAAATTAAATGTACAAAAACATTGTTTTCTTATTGTCTATATTGTTTCTATGCTGTTCATGAATCTCTCCTTTTTCTTCTCACTAATTTTATAGCCAGCAGAAGAAAAAGAGCAGCTGCTTCATAATGATGAGTATCAGGAGACAATGGTGGAGTCCACCTTTATGTACCTAACGTTGGACCTTCCTACTGCCCCTCTCTACAAGGATGAGAAGGAACAGCTCATTATCCCCCAGGTGCCGCTCTTCAACATTCTGGCCAAGTTCAATGGCATTACTGAAAAGGTAACTCATTTGCACCCCTGTCCTGCTGATACCCCTCCCTCTCGACTTTTTCTTTTTATTTATTTATATTTTAATTCTGTTTTATTCCTCTGCTGTTGAGAGTTTTATCAAATTTTCTGAGTACTGTCCTTAATACCCCCTCCTTTTTCTCTGTTCCCTACTCTTTGTACTCTAAAGACCAGATAGTTTAAAAGGATATGCAAGAAATAGGAGAGCATGTACTATAATTATAGTTAAGAATTAGGGATTATCAGCTAGAAATAGGGTGTCTTGGAGGCTCATTGAAGACGTTTACTGTAGTACTAAGTGTGTTAGGTGTACTCCGTACATGTGGCAGTTTCCAACTACAAAAAGAAAATGAAAAATGGAAATCACCTCATATAAACAGTGTATTTATTGTATGGTGTATTGCCTTGTTAGATTTATTCTTATCGCTTCTCGGCCTTTTGGCTAAGATCAAGTGTAGATTTATTCTTAAGAATTTTGTTCCTTTTAAGTTATTGTAAATGGAATTGTTTTATTAATTTTATTTTTAGATTCTTTAGTGTGTGTAGAAATATAATTGATTTTTGTATATTGATTTTATATCCTGAAACCTTGCCTTCACTCTTTAATGCTAGCAGTACTTTTGAGTAGATTTATTAAGATTTTTTCCATACACAGGATCATGTCATCTGCAACTAGAGATAGTTTTACTCCTTTTCCAATAGATGCTTTTTATTTCTTAACGTTGTTTCTTACATTTTCTTACATTTTACATTTTTTACCTAGTTGCCCTGGCTGGAACCTCTAGTACAGTGTTAAATAGAAGTGGCAAATGCAGAAACCCTTGTGTTGTTCCTGACCTTATGGAAGGGCAAGGCAGTGTTTTGCCATTAAATATATTGTTAGGTATGGCCTTTTTTCTCTCTCTCTTTTTTTTTTTTTTTTTTTAATGTTTTTAGGTCTGACTTCTTCATGGGTGCTTTTTACTAGATTGAAGAAGTTCCCTTCTATTTCTAGTTTATTGAGTGTTCTCACAACTTGGTGTTGAAATTAGTTAAATGCTTTTTTTTTTAGTCAAATGCTTTTTTGTGACTAGTGGGATGATTGTGTGGTTTTTGCTTTTCATTCTGATATGGTATATTATATTGATTGATTTTTGCTTGTTAAATTAGCTTTGTATTCCTGGATAAATTTTACTTGGTCATTGTGTTTACCTCTTTTTATATGTTGTTAGATTTGATTTGCTAGTATTTTGTTGAGGACTTTTGGATCCATAGAGATATAGAGATACAGACATATTCACAGAGATATCGACATAGGTTTTTTTTTTTTTTTTTTACCTGTGATGTCTCTATCTGGTTCTGTTATCAGGGTAATGCTGACTTCATAAAACAAGTAGGAAATGTTCCCTCCTCTTCTGTATTTTGGGAGAGTTTTTGAAGAATCAATGTTAATTCTTCTTTAAATGTGTCGAAATGACTCCTGAAGCCATCTGGTTTTGGGCTTTTCTTTGTGGGGAGTTTTTTGATGACTAATTCAATATATTCACTTAGTTTAGGCCTATTCATGTCGTTTCCTCTTAAGTTTTGGTGGTGTGTGTCTTTCTAGGAATTTGTCCTTTTTATCTATGTTATATAATTTGTTGGGATCAGTGGTATTCCTTTATAATCCTTTATAGTCCTTTTCATTTCTTTAAAGTCATTAGTAAATATCTTTTTCATTTTTGATTCTAGTAACTTGAGCATTTTCTTCTTTTTTTAAGGATTTATTTATTTTTATACCAGAGCTGGGGTATAGGCCAGAAGTGTGGGAGAGTGAGAGGATTCACCAGAGACAGAGCAGGGAGCAGAACAGGCAGACTGATGAAGTACACTGCTGAGGGGAGCAGTGGGCAAGACAGGAGAGGTCTGCCATACCATGTGGGAGTCTCTGTGGCTGGCCAGGAATTAAACCCATGCTGCAGAGGCTGCAGACCGCTTCACAGCGCTGCTCTCAACCCACTGCGCCACCGGGGAGGCCTGCATTTTCTTCTTAATGACTGCTTAGCTGTCTCCCATAAGATTTTGTATGTTGTGTCTTCATTTTTATTCATCTCAAATTGTCTTCTAATTTTCCTTTTGCTTTTTCCCCTTATCCCTTGGTTATTTAGGAGTGTGTTGTTTAATTTCCACGTATTTAAAAAATAATAATAATTTCCACATATTTATAAGTTTCCTGACTTTCTTTGTTGCTGACTTCTAATTTCATTCCATTGTGGCTAGTGAATAACTTTGTATTATTTTTGCACTTTTAAATATATTGAGTTTCATTTTATGGGCTAACATATGGTCTTTGGAGAATATTCCATGTATCCTTGGCAAGAAAATACATTCTGTTGCTGTGTTGGGTGTTCTCTGTTTCTCTCAGGCTTAGTTTATAATGTTGTTCAAGTCTTCTGCTTCTTTATTGATTTTCAGCCTAGGTGTTCTGTCCACTATTAAAATTGTGGTGTTACTGTTTCTTTTATCCATGAATTCTCTATTTCCTTTTCATTTTTATCAGTTTTTGCTTCATGTATTATTGGCACACATTGGGACTTAGCTTCTGCAATAGGTAACTGGAGATGGGTTGAGAAATGCTGGCATCTGTCTCTCCTGGGAAGACAGCCTTTTGGGAGCTGGGGAGAGAGGGGGCCTGTGTTCTTGCCTATACCAGTTTGTCGTGAACGGGAACAGGGAGGAAGGGAGAGGTCTTTGTTTAAATACCATGGACTCGTTTTTCTTACCAAATCAGTAGATTTTCTTTTAATAACTTTTTTTTTTAAAGGTTTATTCATTTATGCATACAAGAACTGGACCAGAAATGTGGGAGGGTGAGAGGATTTTCCAGAGACAGAGTGGGGAGCAGAACAGGTGAATCTACTGAAATACACTGCTGAGGGGAGCAGCTGGCGAGACAGGAGAAGACTGCTGTGCCATGTGGGTTAGTTCCCTGACTGGGGATTGAACTCATGCTGCAGTGGCTGCAGATAACGTCATAGTGCTGAGACTTAACCCCTTGCGCCACAAGGGAGGCCTTCTTTTAATAACATTTAAAAAAAATATTGCAAACTATTTTCTTTAGTAAATGTTTCTTTATTTGACCTATACTCTTAGGACCATGTCCAGAGAATTTAAATGTTTTTTTGATAATTTTTACCAGATGTGTTGGTGAGTGGCTCTTTGGAACTCCTCATGCTGTAGTACTGGAAGTAGAATTCTTACCTGATATTTTATAAGATCATCATCCAGAAGGCTTTGGAGTGTGTGTATTTTAATTTGTGTGTAAATGTATCCTAATTTTATTTTATTTTCAAAAGTGAACAAAAATAATGGCCTTTATTTTAATAGAGGCTTTTTTTTTTTTTAATTGAAGTAACTGCATTTTAACATTATTGAAGTTTCAGGTGTTCATCAGTGAGAATTAGCATGTGTATCTACTACATTAAGATCACTGCTCCTTATATTAAATGAAAGTATTTTTCTGGGAAACTTGGGTACCCCTGAATGGAGTCTTGTTATCCCTAGAACTTGCTCACTCTCAAGAGAAATGCGCTCATTGATGTTTCTTCTCAGATTATGATTAATATTTTGTATCTGTATCTTAGTTTTTACTCTACTAAGTTGTGTTGTAATAAGGAACAATAAATTCATGGCCTCTTGGGCTGGGGTAGATGTCCTGGCTTGTGCATTGCTCCTGTCTGCTCAAATATGCTGAGTGGATCCTCAGAGAATATTGCCTGACAGATTGCATAGGACCCACTGGGTCTTGGGACCTTTGAGGAAGAAGGAATATGGAATATTGGTTGCTGCCTCTGCTAGAATATTCTCAATGATGAAGTACTCCTCACTGCTTCATAAGTGCCTGTTTATGGGTGCTTTTTATCAAGTGGTCAGGAAGTTCTTCCTTATTTTGAATTGAGGCTTTCATGGTCTTAATTCTGCAGCTTTTGACAAACCTCTTCATCTGACACTTTTTTTTTTCTTGTGAAAACTAATACCTACATTACCACAGTTAAAGAGTTGAACAGTGCGATCATATGCTGGCTGAAAGACAACGCACAGTTGAGCTATTTTAGTTAGCCTTATCCAGATTGCTTTCCTAAGCCTTGTGTGTGGTTTCTGGGATTAGGTGTCTTCTGAAATCTAATAAGGCAAAATTGCATCAAAAAAAACAAACCAAACTCATACCTCTGCCCCAGTGTTCCAGCATTTATTTGATAGATTCTTTACTCTTTTCAGGAATATAAGACTTACAAGGAGAACTTTCTGAAGCGCTTTCAACTGACCAAGCTGCCACCTTATCTAATCTTTTGCATTAAAAGATTCACTAAGAATAATTTCTTTGTGGAGAAGAATCCAACTATTGTCAACTTCCCTATTACGTAAGTATCACTTACTCTTGGGGAGTGAGCCTAGATTTCTGTTCATATTTTTGTGCCATTGTTAATTTTGGACTCTGTTAATTGGAGATTGCAAGGCATAGAACCCTATGTGTACTACATAAGTTAGAGTTTTTACTCGAAAATTGAAATACTTCAGGGATTTCAGAGATGTTTACCTGAAGGCAATCCCCTTTTTCTTCTCTTCTGAAGCTTACTGGGAATTTTAGTCTTTCAATATAGGGAAAAATAGTCGACACAAGTAGGGAGCACAGGTGGAATACTGCCTGCCTTAGAAGGTAGTCCTGAGCAGTTAGAGTCTGACGATCTTTTTGCTGGTTGTCACATCTTCTTGCGTAATATAGTTAGGCAATATAGTTAGGCGTAATATAGTCATTCCATGGAATGACTCCAGACTTGTCCTACTATATTTTGGGGGGGTGTCCCATCTGTCTTATTTCCCTGACTCCCCCCAGCCCCCCAGGGTAATGTCTGTAATGCTCTCAATTTCTCCTTATTGATGAGGAAGTTATAGATTTTTTTTTTAAAGATTTATTTATTTATGCATACAAGAGCTGGGGTACAGGCCAGAGATGCGGGGAGTGAGAGGATTCACCAGAGACAGAGCAGGGAACAGAACAGGCAGACCGACAAAATACACTGCTGAGGGGAGCAGCAGGCGAGACAGGAGAGGCCCACCTCTCCATGTGGGTTTCTCCCTGGCCGGCTGGGGGTCGAATTTGTGCTGCAGAGGCTGTGGGCTGCTTCATAGTGCAGTGCTCAACCCCCTGCACCACCAGGGAGGCCCCAGGAAGTTGTAGATTTTGATGTATGATCTTATTTTTAATTTATCATGCAGTTTTCTGAACAATATGAGTTTTCAAGCAAAATTGGTGTAAGTTGGACCAGATGTTATTATTATTATTACTTTCATTGAAGTATAATTGACACGTAAAACTGTATTAGTTTCAGGTGTACAACATAATAATTTGACATTTGTATAGATCACATAATGATCATAACAATAACTCTGGTTACCATCTGTCACCATATATTGCAAGCTTCAATTTTTTATAAGATTGATTTATTATGCATACAGTGTAGGCTAGAGGTGTGAGGGATGGGGGGTGGAGGGTAGATGAGAGGATTCACCAGAGACAGAGTGGGGAGCAGAACAGGTGGATCAACTGAAATACTCTGCTGAGGGGAGCAGCAGGTGAGACAGGAGAGGTCTGCTGCGCCATGTGGGTTACCTTCTTGGCCTGGGCATTGAACTCATGCTGCAGTGGCTGCCGATAGCTTCATAGTGCTGAGACTTAACCCCTTGCGCCATCAGGGAGGCCCATAAGTTTCAAATTTGTTACTGACTATAGTTACTGCTGTGCATTCCATCCCTATTACTTGTTTTAATAGTACCAGGTGCTTTTACTTTGCTTCCTTCTAATGCAGAAGGCTCCTGCCAAAACCCATTTGGGGGTAAGACAGTTGGTTTTCAGTTCTCAAGAGACATGGTTTTTCAAACTCTGAAGAATGTATTTCTGAGAACATGGAGAAAACTGATGACAGGACTGGTAAGAAGAAGTGTAACTCTGTGCTGGCATTAGGTAAGATCAGAGTAGAGCCCTGAGACAGTTTCTTTTTTTTTTTTAAAGATTTATTTATTTATACAAGCACTGGGTAGAGTCAGAAGCACGGGAGGGTGAGAGAATTCACCAGAGCCAGAGCGGGGAGCAGAGCAGGCAGAAGGACCGGAGCACAGTGCTGAGGGAGCAGCAGGTGGCAGGAGAGGTCTGCGCGCATTTGGACCCTCCTCCAGTGACCGGGAGCAGCGGGGATCGAACCGGCGCTGCAGAGGCTGCGGGCAGCTTCACAACCCAGCGCTCACCGCTGCACCACCGGGAGGCCTGAGACAGTTTCTTACTGAAAAGGATTTGGAAAAAAATATGCGCCCTCCTGGTGGCGCAAGGGGTTAAGCACAGCACTATGAGGCTGTCTGCAGCCATTGTAGCACGAGTTTGATCCCTAGCCGGCTGGGGAGCTACCCACATGGCACAACAGACCTCTCCTGTCTCACCTGCCACTCCCCTCAGCAGTGCATTTCAGTCAGTCTACCTGTTCTGCTCCCACTCTGTCTCTGGTGAATCCTCTCACCCCCTGCATCTCTGACGTATACCCCAGTTCTTGTATGCATAAATAAACAAATCTTAAAAAAAAAAAATAGGATTAACATGTTTGCCCAGTATTTATTTTTTTAAACCTGCATAAAATTGTTTGGGCCCTCTAACAGGTAAATGCTCATCTCTTCTTTTCTTTCTTCCTCTGTCCACCTCCATTATCCAATTCCCCAGCCTATGCAGGACTGCCATTTTCTCCTTTGTAAACAGTTAGTTTTTCATTCGTGTAATGTGTGAGAGGGTAGTAGCAAAAATTAAAGAGAACTTAGGTCTGTATATATTTGCTTATGGATAAAATGAGACTTGGACTATATGAACCCTGGGATTCTTCAAGGTATAATATTTTATTCTTCTTCTATAATCACCAAGCATCTGAGAATGGTGGGGGCTAAGGAGAGAAACCCTCTGTAATTAGGATTATAGGAAAATTTATTTTTTATTTTCTCATACTTGTCTTCCTGTTTTTCTTTAGTATATTTTTTGTGTGACAAATAGAATGAAATTGGAGGATATCGACACCTGTTCTTGCTCCCATAGAGGAGCTTTCTCTGAAAGTCCAAGGCTTAGGGTTTTACTTAAGAATTTGACTCCTGTGAATTGCCAGTCACCAGTCTTCCTGGCAGGAAGAACTGTCTCTTGACTCTAGGGCAGTTGCTGAGGAAGAAGGACTATGTGTTGATAGTTCCTGATCAGTCACCACAGGTATTTCCTTAGTTTCTTTTATATTGTGCCTGGAGCATGTTATTTTGCCACCAGTTGCATTTTAGGTTTTTGGTAACTGTGACTTCAGCAGTTTGTCTTTCAGAAAACTTACTTTGGAGAAGTTAAGAAAAGATTACCTCTTAACTAGCCAGCCTTTTAGGGAATATCATATTGTGTGGCTAATTTTGGAAACCTGTACGATAATGTAATTGTATAGTTTCTATAATTTCTTTCAAGGAGATAGGGTTCTAGATAATCCAAAGTCCCCAGTTACTGATTCTGTTTTATTCACAACATTTTTAACAGCGATTTATCAGATTTGCTGCAATTAGGTGTCCTCTGCTCATTTGGAGACAGGGCTTTTGGAGCCCAGATTTAAAGTGTCACTTTCAGGGCCTCCCTGGTGGCACAGTGGTTGAGCACTGGGTTGCGATGCTGGCCCCAGCCTCTGCAGTGCCGGTTCGATCCCTGGCCGCTGGGTGAGGGTCCACATGGTGCGCAGACCTCTCTTGCCACCCACTGCTCCCCTCAGCAGTGTACTTCATCAGTCTGCCTGCTCAGCTCTCCCCTCTGGCTCTGGTGAATTCTGTCATCCTCCTGCACTTCTGACTGTACCCAGTGCTTGTATAAATAAATAAATAAATCTTAAAAAAAAAAAAAAAGGTGTCACTTTCAGCTAAGTAGGTCTTCTCTGAGTTGGACTATTTTGGTTGGGAGATGAGTATGGTTTGCTCCTTTGCCTCTTTTTCCTAGACAAAATGTTTCAACGTGTGTTCATTCCCATTTGCCACTACACAGTTTTGGTTTAGTCATGAGAACTTGAGTATAAACACTCCTGAACATTTCCCTAGGACTCTTCAGGTAAGTTCAGACAACTGTTGTTAAAACTGGGAGGAAGTAACACCAGTGGTCTGCTTTTAGCAGCTAGCAGAAAGTTTTCTTTCTGGGCCTCACATGGATTTCTTAAGACTCATTGAAATTGCCTTTAACTATTTATTTTATTCTATATAGTCTGTAGAAATAAGTAGCTATCACTAACACATAGAAAGTTACATAATATAATTAAAGAGAAGTTGCATTTTTTTTTTTTTTTTACTACCACTGGCTTGCACGGGAAACTTTCTGTATTTTTACAGGTAATATATACAGAGTCTAAAATTCAAAGCTGTATATCTAAAAGTGACCACTAGGGCCTCCCTGGTGGTACAGTGGGTTAAGACGCAATCTGTGAAGCTATCTGCAGCCTCTGCAGCACACGTTTGATCCCCGGCTGGTCAGGGAGCTACCCATATGGCGCACCTGACCTTTCCTGGCTCACCTGTTGCTCCCCTCAGCAGTGTATTTCAGTCAGCCTGCCTGTTCTGTTCCCCAGTCTGTCTCTGGTGAATCCTCTCACCCCCACACCTCTGGCTTGTACCCCAGTTCTTGTATGCATAAATAAATAAATCTTTAAAAATAAATAAATAAAAGTGACCACTGGAAATAACCAGTTAGCATTTCATGTTTTCATGTAATTGTGTCACAGGTTATGAATGGTAGCACATCGGACAATTTCAGAGATTAGAAATGTGATAGAATCTCTTTTATTCTACCTTGTCTTATTTAAATTTTCATGAATATTTGTAGGCTGTGGCAGGATTTATTTTTCCTTAAACTATGTAGCCAACATATTCTCTTATGTTACCAGTCTGTTTCCCTGTTTAACTATTTGAAAGTTCTTAATAGTTGTCTTTGTAGAGTCTTCACAGTAAGCATTTATTATAGAATGTTATTTTGCAGCATATTACATGGTGTATTTGCAGTGTATTACGTGGTATACGTTTATAACTTTGACAGAATCCAACTTCTAAAATGTAGTGAGAGATTTAATTCGAGGTATGTCAAGAATGCTTTTCTATATCTGAAAGTGAATATTCAGATATTAAAAACAAATCTGATATGTTTAAGTTCCAATTGAAGGAACTCAGTAAATAGTTTCTTTTGACAACCAGGACTGAGAAATTTGGGAACTGGTATGTTCAAATGGGTCACATAAAGAAGAGAGAGCCACGCTATTAAAGAAATGAGAATAATAAAGTTGATGTCAAAGGCAAGTGGGAAAGAGGGACCCTCTCTTGGATCCTGCTGCTTCTCTGGCACCTGGATCCAACAATTCTCCCTTTGTGCTTAAGCTACCTTGGGTGGGTTTCTGTTCCTTGTAACTATTCTGTTACTTAATCTGTTAATTAATCAGAACAGGATAAAGTGGGAAGCAATTAAATACAGAAGTGAGGTCCCAGAAAACAGAAGAAAAAAATCAATCAGATCTTTTTGGTTTGTCATTGAGATTGTTACAGTGATTAGTCTCATGGTACCCCACATAATCATGTGATCATACTTGCAGGGCCTTAGGCCAGAAACTTGGTGCAGCCTGTATACTGTTATTCTGAGCTAGGGTGGAGGGTGAGGCAGTCATACTAGTTGTCTCACTTTATCCTGGCCATCTCAGGGGAGACCATCACTGCCATTCTAACAAGGAGAACCTTGAGGTGTATAGCTTGTTTAAACTCAGACTCAGCTCTGAAATGGCCAAACCCAGATTCCGGTTTCAAGCCTGCAGATTCTAGGCCCTGCATGTTTGACATCTAGACATGTGTTTCAAAAAATGCTCTTCCCAAAGATCCTGGCTTTCTATTTTGACTGGAAATTCTTATTTTATGGCCAATTATGTGAATTTTCACAAGTCTGGGGTTCCATGACTGAAAACCTCACTGGATCCAGCATCCTAAATAGCATTTAACAGCCTTGTGGTCCATTTGTGTAGGGTAGTTTCTTTAACATTGTTGTCTGATCTTTTGGCCTCATTTTTTTTTACATCAGAAATGTGGATCTGAGAGAATACTTGTCTGAAGAAGTACAGGCAGTACACAAGAATACCACTTATGACCTCATTGCCAACATTGTTCACGATGGCAAGCCCTCGGAGGGCTCCTACCGGATCCATGTACTTCATCATGTGAGTGGCAAAAACAGCTGTACTGTTGGTATTTTAGAGGGCAGCTGCTTTCTGTTTGTGCTTTCTTGGCCTTGACTTTGGGATTCTGCATCTAATAGAGCTGTCAGTGTTTAGTTTAAGGCAGTGATTCTCAATTTTGGCTCCACATTGGACTCATCTGTAGAGATTTAAAAAATCCTGATGCCTGTGGTTTTCAACCAGGATAGAGACCAGGGACGCTGCAGAAGCTCCTAACAGTGTCCATGGCAGCCCTCCCACAGCATATGGGCCCAAAATGTCCATCAAGGTAAAGACTCTGCATTAGATTACCTGGAGGTGGCACCCAGGCAGTGTGATGCTGCAAAGGTGACTAGTGTGCAACTAAGGTTGAGAACCACTGTCATACCTTAGAACTTGGCACCTAATATGGGCTCCTCAGTTCAGCAGTGTTGACATTGTTGGAGGTTTGCAGTTATGTAATCCCAGACTTGTTAGAAATGCAGAATCTTGGGCCTCCCCTGGTGGTGCAGCGGTTGAGTGCTGGGCTGCTAAGCTGCCAGCAGCCTCTGCAGCGCTGGTTCGATCCCCGGCCACCGGCAAGGGTCCCACATGGTGTGCAGACCTCTCCTGCCGCGCCTGCTGCTCCCCTCAGAGTGTACTTCATCAGTCTACCTGTTCTGTTCCCCGCTCTGGCTCTGGTGCATTCTCTCACCCTCCCGCACTTCTGACCGTACCCAGTGCTTGTATAAATAAATAAATAAATAAATCTTTTTAAAAAAGAAAAAAGAAATGCAGAATCTTGATGTAAATATATATATGTAAATAAATACTAAAAAAAAAAAAAAAAAAGGAATGCAGAATCTCAGACCCTACCCAAAACTGAACCAGAATCTGCATTTTAGTAAGACCTGATTTATTTGAAATTTGTGAAGCACTGGTGTAAAAGATTCCTTTCAGCTCAAAAATACTGTGAATTTATTTCAAACTGAAAATGGATAAAACATGTACATGAGATATAATTGATATTGCAGGGAATATCAGCACAGATTGTTCTAATTTGTGAGTCCCAGTCTCTTCTAGGATTGTGGGATAATAATAACTAGCTTCTGTTTATCAGACATTTTATTGTGTCTGGAAAGGATGCCAAGTGCTTACTGTATATAGCATCTCACATGCTTCACACAGACTTCCAAGACAGGGGTCAATGCCATCTTTTATGGATGAGGGAGCCTAGGCCTAGAGTTGGAATAATTTATTTGCAGCAGTAGAATTGGGGTTTGAACCTAGAAACTTGGTTTCACTGTGCCGTTAACCGGTCCTTGAACTGGAACAGGGACTTGATTACGATCTTGAGCTTTCTTTATGTTTCCTACAGTTTGCACTGGTGGAACACCCATAATACTAGAATACCTGTACTCTCTAGTATCTTGTCTTTGGCATTTCTTAGAATGGGTGGATGAGGCAGTTGAGCATCCCAAAGTGACTGCCATATCCAGAAACCTCTTTTTCCTCTATGGAAGCAGGAAGTGAGGTAGATTTTGGTTGTATTTGCCACATTAGTTTCACAGGTGAGAGGAATTGGATTAGTATGGTAGACAGTGTCTTTCAGTTGCTTTGTTCTCTGGGGTAGGGCGTGGGAATGTCTGCTTTTAATTCCTCTGATGGGTTAACACCGCACCTAGCCTGTCCGTTCTGAGCAGTAAGGCGACCTCTTAGGTGAGGACTAAAGAGTATCAGTGTTTTTTTCTTTTTATTGTCCACCCAAGTTCTAAAAAGGTGTACCGAGTGTTTGAGAGTCCGTCGTGCTTCAGGTAACTCTTGCCAGGCATTGAGTCTGCCATGATCAATACCCAACTGTTCTTTAAGTTGAATGATGCCCAGCAAAGGTCATGCCCTCTTTATTCATGACTTTTGTTTGATGATGGTCTGGTGGTTGTTTCTCTGACTTGTTGACTGCATCCCTTGCTTCTGTACTCTTCATACTTTTGCAGGGGACAGGCAAATGGTATGAATTACAGGACCTCCAGGTGACTGACATCCTTCCCCAGATGATCACGCTATCAGAGGCTTACATTCAGGTGGGTTGGCCACAGACTTAGTGAGTGCTGAGTAGTTGGGGTGTGAGGGATATTGTGAGTGATGGCAGGAAGTGGGGTTAACTTAGAGTCACGTTTAGGTACCTGTGGTAGATCTGAAAATGCATTGAGGAGTGAGGTGGGACTTTCAGAGAGGGGTGGGCAAACGCTCCCCAGTTCCCTAGGCACAGTCAGCACTTTTGGTGACTCACAGCACTTCCTGCATGTCTGTTGGTACACCGAGCATATTGTTTTAACTGTCTTCTCCAGTGGATTGAGAGATTGTGGAGCAGATTATCTCTCCCGTCTCTTGCTAACTGCCCTAGGACGTGGCAAAAAAGGAAGACTGAAACTAAGAAAAAGCCCTAGCCTTTGTAAGAAGGATGAGTAACCTCACTGCGTCAAGAGATAACTTTCCTCAGCCACTTTGTCTGAGGTTGTTGACTTGACTATGAGTTCTTTTTCAGAAAGGAAGTTTGGAATGGGAGGTAGGAGAGGAAGAGGAAGGGTGGGAAAATGAAAATCAGATGAAAGGGAAATTTTTGAAAGATTATAGATAAGTTTCATGAGGGGGCTAGCAGATATTTAAGGGGTGGATATTTAAGTGGGGTGGCGGGCTATCCACTGCTGATTGCAGAGAGGTATTTAATAAATACCAGCTCCTAAATATCTGTTATATTCATTTCTTACAGATTTGGAAGAGGCGAGATAATGATGAAACTAACCAGCAAGGAGCTTGAGGAGTGTCTAGGACTTTGCTCTAGGGCTTTTGACCATAGATGATAAATAATAACTGAAGCTGTAACTGAACATTCATTGGGCAACCCACTTTTTATGAATCCTGGTTCACACCAGAGCAGCAGAGGGGCCACCCCCCTGGAGGGTTCTGCACTGTCACCCAGCCATTCTCTTACCAGTTTACTGTAGACTGACCCTCCTTTCCCATCCTGTCTAGCGCCCTGCTAGCTCCCTTCCAGCTTTAGCAGACCAGAACTCTTTTACAGAGGTATGTAATTTATTTCTGAGTAGCTGGGCGTACCTAAAAGACAAGATAATTTCTTTTAAGCATCAAAGTCTCAGGATTCTAGGAATAAGAGCATGAAGCCAGTAATGTCCTCCTTCCATCACAGATAATTCCTGCAGTCTCCTCATTTCCCTGTGTGTTTTTTGGAATGGATTAAATTTTTTCCTGTTTTTAAACCAGCCTCTTGTTTTATATCTTTCCATGAGACAGGGAAGATTTTTTATAAATCTGACAAACTGTCAACTTACAGACTGTCATACAATCTTGTTGCTAACTGTCAGCTTGTGAGTGGTGTGTCAGTTAGGATGCATATGTCTCTTCAGTAACAAAATAATCTGATTAAAAGTGATAAATTATTTTGTGCTTAACTAGAAGTCTGGAGGTGGGCGATTTCAGTCTGCAGGGCAGGGCTGTGTGAGGGAAGAAGGAAGATAGGAGTATCTGCCTGTGCCAGGCCAGCATGGGCCCCCGAGCAAAGATCGCTTGTGAAAAGAATCAAGTAGAAATGGCTTTCCCCAGGACCAGTCATGGGTTAGAAACAACCCAGAGGAAGGGAGCCTGGGCCTGAACACAGTGGCAGATCTGAAGCCTCAGCTGCCGGCAGCAGCCCGTCAGCCATAGCAGGCTCTCCTACGGTGCAGGAGCCGTGCAGCTCTGCACGCTGTACTTCTGAGAGTCAGAAGGCTGTCCTTATTCTCCTCTGCCTCTCTGGCAACTTCACCCTTTCCTTGAGTAAAGCATGTCAGAATGATAAAAACAAATACTGGACATTTCCACTCCTGAAATTTCTATAATGTAAAGCACTTTAAAAAACCAGTGGATATCATGTAAACATCCTCAGGATTCTGAGCCTAAGAGGGAGGGGAGTGGGGTAGAGGATGGGGTATAAGGGGAGGGGGGAGGTGGTGGAGTTAAAAAAGAAATGCCTGTGATTGACTTAAAATAATTCTTAACCAATTTGTGAAAAGATCATGCAATGAAACAAATTTCAGTCTAAAATAAAGCAAAATCCCACCCCCTGACAAAAACAAAAAAAAGAACTTTTTCTAAAGATAATTCTTTTTTGCTTGTAGCTTTAAAAAAATTCCTTTATAGGCTCATCTTCTCTATCCAGCTATTGAAAGTTGCATTTCCTCAGGACTCAGTCTCGATCCTCTGTTCTTCCAGTTTGCTTTTCTGTTAGGCCATTTCAACTATGTCTATGGTTTCATGTACCACCTCTACAGGG